AAAAGATGCATTAATTATAATTTAATTAAATGTTTTTAACAGAAATAATTTATAAAAATACACAAATTATATACATTATATATTTATATCGATAGTAATAAGTTTAATGAATGAAATGTAATCTTAACAGTGTAAAAGATTCACGTATAGAATTTATATTGAATTAATTTACATTTACGATATGCTTTAGATACTGTATATCAGTTAACAAGTAATCAATATAGGAACAGTTACTATAGTAGCTATTAAATCTGTGATTGACAGATAATTAGATTGTTTCGCTTATAACACGCAGTACAAAGCCGAATTTTTATCCGAATTTGTGTTAAAATAGATTAGGAGACGAAGGAATTGTTGGAATACTTGTAATTTGTATAACTGTAGTTAATTTAATAAATAAATGTCTAATATTGAGAAAGTCTTAAATCTGATTAAGAAAATTTAATCACATTTTACTGCTTTAAACAACTTTAAAAACTATGTAAATTGAAATTGAAAATTCTTATAATGATTTCAGTTTTATTATTATTATAAATGTTATAAACTGAAATGTTTTTATTATTTACAAAAAAATAAAAACACATTTACATATACTTACATCGTTTGAAATCACAGTAACGTTGCTGATCCCAAGTAATATTGGCATTATTAAATTTCATTTTTTTTAAAAATTTGTAAAAACTACATTTTCAAAAATCTTTATTTTTAAACTGTTTGTCTGTCTGTTTTTTTTTTTCTTTTCGTTCTTTTTTTTTAAGCTGGATGTTTTGATATTGTTTCACTAACTTCGAACATTTACAGCTGTGATTCGGTATACTGTAGCGATCTCTGTTGTTTAGGGGGTATTCTCCTGTTGCAAGAATATTCAATAGAAAATACAATGCAGGCCAGACCGACACCTGCTAATAAAAGAATGAAAAGTCCTCCTATTTTTCCTACATCCAGTTCCAAAGGAGTATTATTTGGTGTATTGGACTTAGGTGAGCACTTTCGACCGTCTTTGTTTCTCCACCACTTCTCTTTTAAAGCGTGTAACACTCCCTTTTCTTGAAGCTTTAAAATTGCACTCGAGAATAACTGAAGGTATGGTGATCCTTGATAACATGAAATAAAAATTTTAAACAAATATGTAAATTAAGAACACGTTAAATTACTGTTAATAATCTTTATATTATAAGCGAAATCAATTATATACCTATATTATGTGTTCATATAACAAGTAAAGTTTAATAATGTAAACGGATATTTCACTAAAATAATTATCATAAAATTATTCAAAAATAATTATTTTCTAATTTTTTAAAGAAATAATAAAATAATGAGTTTAAAACAATGAAAAATAAATTTAAAAATTCAAAACCATTATACTTTATATCTGTATATTTTATATTTAGAATAAGATATATAAATAAAAATTTTAAAATTTATAATTTTTTAAAGCTTAGTGTTTATAAAATTTTTAACCTTTGCGCATTTTTTTTATGGCTAACCAATATATAGAAGTAAAGGAAAAAATAGCATATTGTTCGATATAAAAGATATTAGTAGACAATTTTGGCTATAACGTTTTCTACACCATTATTTGAATAATATAGATTTTGGTGAATAATTTCATACCAGATGGAGTGGCAATTCCATATCCTTTAGAATCCAACAGACCGCCTGTCTGCATGAGATTGCAATGTTTTTCAGTTACATACTCTATCGCCGCAGATTCCATAAAGAATGCGTAGTTCTCTTTCAGAACACGTTGTATTCCTTCCTCGACACTTTTGGTGAAAAGTGATGGTTGAACTGATTCCATTGTCGTCCACATTCTTTTATAAATCGGAACATCAGATGTCTGTTATCGAAAGAGGAAAGCAAAATGGGGTATTTCAAGATAAAAGCAAAGTTTTTATAAAAAACACGTACAAATATAACAACAACTTTCAAAAACTTGACTTTTAGAAAGCTTTTATTATCGTTAACTGGAATAAATCATAGAAAAGAATTTATAATCGTTACTAAATGTTTTTTATTATTATAATTTACTTAATATATTTTAAAAGGAAAAAAATTTATAAATAATACACAAAACACTTTTTTTAAGATTGAAGTAACGTAAAAGAAATCGTTACTTTCATTAGATTTCTGATAAGATAAAATGGTGATCCTGAGATTTTCCAATGTTCATTCAGCAGATCAGATACCATTAGATAATGTTATTGTGACAAACTCCATACCATCGTTATTAGTTTTATATAAAAATAAAAGAAAGAAAACGAAAGAAAACTGTAGAAAAGGATAATTTTTCCTCTCTAAAATAGTATTTATTCGCTATTGTTTCATATGTATTCTTTATTTTTAAAAAATGGTCAATGAGTCTAAATATATTCTCCTCCAGTAAGTAATAAATAAAGAATGATTAGACCAAGTTTATGTAGCATAGATACAGGATTAAGGTTGACAAATTGTCAGTTCGTGTTCGGAACAGCAATTCCTGTTTTATCTAATTATAAGTTTTTATTGCTTATGATAGAATGCTTTTTTTTCTGTAAAGATGTATTGCTGCAGAATATTGGAGTTATATCTAATAATAACAACAAAATTCAAATATTGCATAAAATTTTAAACATTATTTATGTTATAGAATGTTTACTATATATTTTTTCTAACATACCTATAACAAATTTATTCGTAAATATAGTTAGATGCATTGCTTTTGTTTCGATTTATTTTATTCATGATGAATGGAAAAAGATGCATTATTCCTCTTACAAAACAGTGTATTTTCTTGTATGAATTTTGAATATATCGCATTCAGAAAGTTTTTTATTTATCTTGACGTAGGATATATTTACTAATGCAAGAATTATAAAAAGAACTAAATTTTTCTTTCTAGTTGAACAAACAAATAAAAAAAATCAATTTTCTTAGAGCCGCTTTTTAATATTAAAATCAGTTACACATAAATGTATTTATTTATTAGCAATTTTTTATTAGCTAATTATTTTATTAATAAATTTAAAATCTTATCTCTTTTCACTTAAAATATACTTTAAAATAATTAAAAATAATGCGATAGTTTAGGAAGAAAAGTAAAGAAGAAAATATATTTTTTATTTTTTAATAGTATAAAAAAGAGATCTGGGAATTTATTACCTTAAAATATGTAGCTGTCGAACCTCCTTCTAGACATCCATAACGGATATTAGATTGTTTTTCCAAGTCTTCCACAGTAAGGATGGGAGAAGACATCCTTTGTGCTGTAAGAAAAGCTGCTAAATTGGCTGTGTACGATGATAGGGTGATGAGAGTGAAAAACCACCAAATTATTGCTAATATTCTGGTAGACAAACTCCTAAATTAAACATTAAATTCTTGTGAAATCAATAAAATAATATTGATCATTTATATTAAAATATAATAAGGAGATTTTAATTAACTATTTATTAAAATAAATAAGTTAATTTATATAAATGCATTTATTTATCTTTCTTTTAAATTAATGATTTTATATGAATGTTTCATACCTCGGTGCTAAATTCGAACTTTGTTGAGTAAATGAACCGACAGTGAACCAAAAACTGGCTGATAAATTGAATTGGTTCTCTAGAACAACCCTTTCTGGGTCATTCCTACGTTTTCTAATCCATTCGTAAGGAGAAAAACGAGCAACTACGTAGAGAACAAGGCTGACAGTAAGATAAGATGTTCCTATAGCAACCCATACTTCTAGAGATAATGGTGATAGAAAGGTGAACAAATGAGGTACTTGGTTGTCAGAATGTCTTAGGAGAATACTGATACCCACGTTCATGAAAGGCATAGTGAAATCAACTGCTTCTTCTCGTTCATAAGTAATTGTTAAATCTCCTACAGCAATATCTGCCTCCTGAATAAATCACGACAAATTGTATTAACGATAATGATTTGCATGTAATATTAAAATACAGTTAATAGGACTACAAGGTTCTTATAAAAATTCCATTTATCGTTTATTAATATTTCAATTATCCGTTACTTAGATTTTAACCATTAAATTCCTTATAAAAACATATTGACGATAACGCGAATGTCATTCATAAACTTTTTAAATAAAATAAAATTTCTTAAAATTACATGTTAAATATGAATTTAAAATCTATTTTTACATCAAGATCCTTAAATTATGCAATGTAAAATATAAATTTTATTGTTATTTGTAAAATCTTTAATAATATCAGACATTAAAAGATCTCATGTAATTAAATTAAACTGATATTGTAATAAAAATTATATACTTCATACNATGTTCAATAATTACGACTTTTTTATGATAAATTTCACTTTTCGTGTCACACAAGATTACGATAAAATTTTAAAATTTATAGCATTTTTCGCGTATTTTAAATATAATTTTGGCATTAATAATTCAATTTTAAATATTAATATATATTAAATAGATTAACTAATTACAAAATAATTATTCTATACGTCATTTTTATTATATTAATATAATTTTAAAGAGAATATAAACCGTGCAATTAACTTAATTCAGATAAATGAGATTTTAAAGATGATTTCTTACACTAATAATAAATATTAAATAAAGGATTATATTTAATTACGTTAACGATTTATAAATAATTTTATTTTTAATTAAGATAATTTTAATTTCTATTACGAACAAAATATATTAAAAACTTAAAACAAGTGTATAACGATTAACGTCTTAAAACTATAAGTTAAAAATAAAATTAAATATAATTTCTTATACATTTTACACGTTTGAACCCTTATTAAGTAATGCTTTTATAGATTAATTTGTTAAAAAAATATTAAAAGTATATTAAAATTTGTTACTTGGATTTTAAATATACTAATGGGCACGTTGTTATATAAAAGATATTCTATTTTATTAGTTTATTTAATCATAAAAAAAGAGAAGTTAGCGATTTTATATTTAATGAAAAGTAAAGTTCTAGAGCAGCTTTTTTCATCAACTCGGAAATACTCCTTATATAGAGAGGGGAGAATAACGAGATGCAGATGTAAAGTCTCCAGAAGTATAATATGAAAATGAAATTATTATTAAATATTAAAAAATTGTAATGATTAAACTTTATCTGCTTAACAGGGAAATTAATTATTTATTATAATTATCAATTTTTTGAAACAATTAAATAAATAAATTAGTTTATATGCGTGATGTTTAAAGTTAGAACGTCTAGGCACTAAAAAATCGTGTGAATAGTTATAAAAAATCATAATTTGTAACTCGAGCAGGGTCGGATTTTTGCACATAAGCTAAACAAGCTTAGTCTCACATTTTTACATGCATCATTATTTAGTGAAAGGATTGAAAGGTCTGTTATATCTATGGCTTATGGTCACACTTATATTATTTTTTAGTGTCTAGATGTCCCAGCTCTAATGATATTATAAACAAAATACGTATAATCACTTGCAAGCAATATAATACGTGTAATTCAAACCAAAATATTACTTTAAAATAATATATGAATATATTATAAAAGATTTAATATATTTTTTACCTAACAACAGATTCTAAAAAATAATTTTTTGGGGATCTATTGTTTGGTATAAGGAAACAAAAATTAGAAAAAAATATATGTGTCTATTTTATCTTAGACAAAATACAGTGCAACGCTTACCCTGTCAATCAACTGACGTATCATTCCATTCCATTCTCCTATTTTATTTTTACTTCCATATCTGTTGTCTCTTACCAAGCTGATTTCATATCTAAATCCAAAAACTCTAGAGATCTCTTTGAGCAAGTCGATGCAGTAACCTTGGAATCGATCGTTACCTTTTAAATCTGCATTGGTGTTCTTCACAACAAATGGAGGATGCTAAATTCAAAAGAAAAAGTTTATTTCAAATCCAAACAGAACATTCAAATATTAAAAAAATTTTACTTGAATATTCTATTTTTTAAACTGGATTGAATTCATAAATTTATTATTATTATTTTCCATTTGTTGCTTTGTTGTACTCTGTAAATTGTCCATTAGACTGTATGCCTTACAAAATAAGCTTAAATAATAAGATATTTAATTATTTTTAAAATATAATTTTAATTATATTAATTAAATATTAAATTGTTATAATT